CCCCCGGGATGCTCCTGTCGCGCCGGGACCTTTGCACCAGCCTAAATTCCTTGGAATTCCTTGGAAATTGCAATCTGGCTCAGCGCTGCCAAGCTGGTCTCCGTGGTAACAGAACCCACAAGCTGTGGGAAAAGGCGGCTTCCAGTAAGGATAAAAAAAGGAAAAAAAAAGAGGCAGAAAGTTAGGAGAAGGCGGTGGTCGCACGGAGATCTTTATTCTTTGGTGTTGTTTTTTGGTGTTTAATTTGGTGATGAAAGGCATTAGCAAATAGCAGGAAGTGACCGTGTCCAGTAGGAGTGTTGCTGGGTGACTTGGGGCTCTGCTACCTGTTGACACGGCTGCAGTAACGAGCAGCCTTGCAGCATCTGTGCACCTGGGCATCTCTGTAGGGCAGGGCTCAGGAATCATTAACTTCAGCTCACCTAGTCATGCTCATAAAAAATAATACACGATAAGGATTTGCTTAAATCAATTATATTAGTGATTACTTGGAGTTTTTTCCACCTCCCTAATGTCCAGGCTGACTCACGGATTTAGCTCAGTTTCAGGATCAGGCAAAGGTTTTGTTTTTCACAGGCAGCCAGAGAGCATTTTAAGATTCAAGGATTAGGACCAGTGTCTTGGATTCTGAAATGTATCCTAGCCATGGTTTGGAGCCACTGTGAATCACTATGATACAAACAGTGATTCTGCTTTTTGAGGTACCAATGCTGCCTGAAAACTGGAGCTGGGCCCTGGCCTGACAGGGGACAGTGACTGCAGAATTTTTGGGGCTGTATTCCACACACCTTTGCCAGCACATTCCCTGTGAAAAGAAACATCAGTGCCTTTGCCACAAACAAACTTCCTTTCCTCTGACATGGTTGGGCTGGGGCAAAAACAAGAAAGTGCATCTATTAAACAGATGCTGTTTAAAAATTTATGTGGATGCAGACAAATTGTCAGAGGTGTTAAGTGCATTGTAGTCTGTATGCCAAATGCATTCCCAGCTCATGTAGAGGCCTCAGAGGCTTTGTTTATACTGGTCAGAGAATTCCTGGAGAGCGAGCTGAATTAAAGGCTGCTCTTCAGCAGCAGCATGGATCTCACTGAATCAATTTCTGCAGCAGTTCAGCCAGTTAGTGGGGAAGGTCATCTTTTGTCTGGGACGTTTCTGTAGAGATCTAACTGGAGGGAGGAGCAAGAAAAGCAGATCTCTAAAAACAGTGCAGTGTGCTTCCTTTCCATGTGGTATAGCTCCAAGTGCTAAGTCAGGGTGAATAAATCAAGCGCCTGTGATAGCCCAGCACTCTGCTGGGGGCCTGGCTGTCTCAGAGACATCCTATGGAAAGTGAAATGCCACCGTTGTCTGATAAACAGCAAACCTGCACATGCCAGAGTGCTGATGCTTTTGATAGCATGTGAGTCCCAGAACACACAGGTAAAATGTCTTGTGTTTGAAATATCCTTCCTTCTGCTGCTTACCTGGGATAGGAGCAAAAGGTCAGCTGAGGCAAATTTGAGGATTTCTTTCCATTTAGCTTAAGATCCTGGGCTATGATTTGTAAAGGTACCTGAGAAAGTTAGAAAATCAACCTGAAGTGATTTTTCTTTTCATGTAGCTGAGGAAAGACTCAATAATCTTTAATGCTTACAAAAATCTTTACTTTTGCAAATAGCCTGGCTAAGAAATGGATTTAATAGATTCTTTCAGTACCTTAGAACATTTCCTAAACCAAATATTAAGCCTGATATCAACAAGGCCCATAAATCCTATAAGCCTCTATCGCTGCTGTTTGATTGCTGAAGACTGTTCAAGGAGTTTAAATAGTCTACTGAAAAGGAAATCTAAGTCCAAGGTTCCTTAAAAGAAAATAAAAACATAGACTGAAAATCTTGGTCTTGAAACTCAACCTACCAAGCATGAATATGGAAAAATGCAGTTTAAAGGCCAGTAGTGTTTGCAATAGACACAAGCATTTTGCAAGTTTGCCAGTTCTGGCAATCTGCAGTTCCTGTGAACAAGTGCTGCAGGTGGAAGGGCGATGTTTAAAGGGTGCAGTTGCTTCTTTTCATTAGCTGAGTTGCTGTCTCTCTCCATGCTCTGAAAATGTCACAGTTCCATTCCACGCAGCGATGCTTGTGTTCAGTTAGAGACTTGAACAAAACACGAGCCTTTTGTCTTCTGAACCTTCCCTGAGCAATTTTCTCTACTCCATCAGTTTGAGCTGCTCCCTCTCTGCTGATTTAAGTCATCAGAATTTTCCAGGCCACTGTAATCCTTCAGCATTCTCTTTTGTGCTGGATTTATACCTCAGTTACCCTGAACTATATCTGTTAGGAGGGCAAATTACAAAAAAGTGGCACTAAAATGAATGAGTTGATGCAACATTCTTTCACTTTCTGTGTCACTCTGCCAGAAGCAGGGCTCTGCCCAGCTTTGCCGTGCTGCCCTGCCTCTGGTGGCTGCGCTGTGCCGAGGCGCAGGGTGCCAGCGCTGCCTTTGTCCCGTTCAGAAATGAGCTGCACCATCGAGAAGGCGCTGGCGGACGCGAAGGCGCTGGTGGAGCGGCTGAGGGAGCACGACAGCGCGGCCGAGGCGCTCATCGAGCAGACCACGGCGCTCAACAAGCGGGTGGAGGCCATGAAACAGGTCTGCTCTCCAGCCCTGCCTGTCCTGGCACTGCAGCATTCTGGCTCCGGGGAT